AGGGTGTCCCGCTGGGGGGGGATGGGGAGGGCTGGGGGGCCAGCAGGGCCAGCAATGAGCCCCCCGGCAGCGGCGGGGAGCCGGCCAGGCGTGAGGCCCCGCTTTGGCTCATGACGGGTCTGCCCTAGGACATGGCCCTCTCTGTTGGGGCAGCGCCTCTGCCCGGACACCTGCGGGAGAGAGGAGGGGTCAGGGGGTGCTGGGGGTGTGCAGGAGGTGGCTAGAGGGAAGTGGGGGGACATAGCCCCCAGTTTTAGAGGGCAGCACACTGAGGGACGAGGTCCTTGGCATGGACCACTGCCAGGTGTCCGGTGAGGACTCTGGTGACGTCACCAGCCAGGTCGCAGATGATGACCCCAGTGAGGTCCCTGGTGATGGCCCCAGCAAGGAGCCAAGCGATGGCCACAGCCAGGTTCCCAATGAAGATCTCAATGAGGTCCCCAGTAGAGGACTATGGATTGGTTCCCAGTGAGGACCCTGGCGAAGTCCCTGGTGATGGCCCCATTTGAGTCCCCAAGGAAGCCCCTGGCAAGGTCCCCAGCAAGGACCGCAGCCCACTGTCTGGCCACCAGCACCTTGTCCCAGCTTGGCATAAGCCTGGCCTAGGGCACCTCTGCCAATGCACTGGAGGCAACAACATGTTATTCAGATGATGTCATTCACATGAGGTCATCCAGATGACATCATCTGTGAGCCTCCAAGACCATCCCTGGTGCTGCGACCATGATCCTGGTTGCACCCCGACAGCTCCAGTGAGAGTTAAAGCCTGGATCTGGCGCCAGCAAGGCAGGAACAGCTCCGGAAGAGATGGAGCTGCCAAACTGGCTGCGGCAGCAGAATGCGTGGTGAGGTGGCGGGACGATGTGCGCAGAGGCGGCGGACGCACTCTCCAATGACACCGCAACAAAGGGCAGGCGCTGAGCACCTATGTCCCAGCGCTGAGCGCCCATGTCCCAGCATGGACCTCACATTCTGGCCTGGGCAGGCGGGAAACCGCCCCAGGAAACCGTAATGGGAGGCTGCTATGCGCCCTAATGGGATAAGTACAGAGT